GGAGTATTTAAAATAGCCAGTTTCTATTTCACATTGTTATTGTCTGATCCACCAGCTTGTGGATTGAACAATAACAATGTGAAACAGAAAATGGTTATTATAAATAGTCCCGAGTGAGATGAACAATAAAAATGGCTGCGCCCATCGAGTCGCACCTTGTTCTAATAGTAAAACATGTACATTGGCATTCTACCCCCCTCCAGTTCATTGTGCCCAGCCCAACCTCAGATAAATAAATAAATAATAGATACAGCCCTATCATGCAATATTTGTAACCAGCATCTCCTCTCACTATATAGCAGTGGTTACACGACTTGATTGGATATTCGCTATTTTGGTTACACACCTGATTGGTTAGCAAAAAATTGACAGGACTACGTTAGTTAGGTTAGTTATTTTATGGTTATTTTATGGTTCATTTTGAGTTTATTTCGTACTTTATTTGAAAAATTTTTGTGGTTTAAGTTATTTTAGTGCATTTAATTGCTTAAAAATGCCAGTGAATTGTATTGTGTGCTCGAGAAAGTATCTCAAGTTCAGTTCGATAACGTTTCATAGGTAAGTAAATAAAAACCATTACCGTTGCATCACACTTTTTTGAGGGGTATCATAATTCAAAATAAGGTTTAAACAACAATTTATTTTAAAGTTTAAAATAACATTCAACGTCGAATTTGGAATTATTTTATTGTGCCTGTGTAATTAATAACTTTGAATTTATTAATAGGCTATCTTTAAATTAAAGTTATATTGTTATGCACACTGATGTACATTTAAGAAGGCTCTAGGGGCATTTACTTTAGTTATAAAATCTTAGTATTGCTTTATTTTAATGACAAAATATATTGTTAGAACACCATAGTTATTTTAAAGTACACTATGTTGCATTCTGTATTACATGAAATCCTATATACCTACCTATATGAATAAGAAAACACTATTTATACCTATAGGTTTCCAAAAGATCCTCAAACTAGATATATGTGGATGAAGAGTTTGGGTATACGTGAGGATGAAGAGTGTATTCAGTAGAATTTGTTCAAGACATTTTGAGGATTCTGCCTTTGCTAAGTCTCCAGGAGGAAAAATGTTTTTAATGAAAGGAGTAATGCCCTTATTTTACTCACATCCTGAAGCTGTTCCTCAACTGGAAACTATGTCATATTCTAAACCTTCTACATCTGAAACTAAGTGAATATTTGAACAAAAACTATAAATAATAAAAAAATTTTTTTGTCTTTGTTTAATTAATTTGAATATTCTAAGTATTAGTACGGGAACCAATAAATTTTGTAATTTTTAATTACCTATTCATGTTATTTTAATAACACAATAATATATGTAATTATTATGATATGTTTTCTTATTGTCTAAATTAAAATAGGTTTCATTTATCTCAAGTGAATGTATATTATATTTACTTATTATATAGTTACACGTCACATAATTAATTTAATTTGTAAATTGTGTAGTAGGAAAATGGTTGCCAGTATCGCATCATCCTGGAAATATCTAATTCGTATTCTTGGAGACTTGTCTCGATTCTGCTTACGATCCTTTAAGTCTTTCAGAGTCTTCCGTTTTTTCCACAGGTACAGTCTGAAGAACATCTAAAGCATCCCCTTGAAAGGCGATGGTCACATTTACTGACTTCTCGTTCAAACGTCCACGACGAGATTAAAAAATAATTGGGCAGTATAAGAACCGATAATTGGATCAATCTCTTAAGGCTAAGACACGCTAAGATACTTCTGGGTGAATATACCTAACCAGGAAACCATGGCAGGAAACATCGGAAGCCTCTGTGATCTGTATACCCATTTATAAATGGTAATGTTAGTACCCGTGACGCCATCTATGTTTCAGCTTCATATAAGTGTTTCTCCTTATATCACAGTCATCTGTAGTCTGTGACCCCGTAGGATTATAGATCGTACGTAGATGCCGCCACGAGTACTAAATAAGAGTCAGATGCGCATTGTCTCGTATTACAAGTTCGTATTTCATCTTGAGTTTTGTCTTGTATTATAACCATTACTGAATTACTGTGTTTATTAGAATACTAGAGAATAAAAGCTTACAACAAGGTGTTGTTTTATTGAGTAGTGTATAAATAAGGCATACATCACAGCCTGCATCTGCCTGAGCAAGAACAGGCTTCCTATTGTAACAGGGATCCTTACCGGGCATTATCGACTTAAAGGACACCATAGTAAACTGAGAGTAGTAGAGGATAGTGAGTGCAGATTCTGTGAGGAGGAGGACGAAACCTCTATTCACATTCTAACTGAATGTGTAGTACTCCAGAATCCAAGGGCACTATACCTAGTAGGAGGATATCAAATAGAAAAGAGAGATTTACCTAACACGCAGCCACTCCAAATCCTACACTTCCTTGGGAAGATAGGATTGGAAGGGTCGTTATAGGCATTGAGACATTTCCTTGGTGCATTAGCGACATAAGGGGCACAATAAATCTTTTAGGTCGCAGTGTGTGTATTAACACCCCATTCCCAACAACATCTCAAGTGAATGTATATTATATTTACTTATCACGTCTCATAATTAATTTACTTTGTAAATTGTGTGGTAGGAAAATTGTTGGGTTTTATTTATCTGTAGTTAATGAATATTAGTTTTAGTTATCTAGGTACCTGTCACATAATTATTTGATTTATAAATTATGTGAAAGGAAAATTGTTGGCAACTAAATTATTATTATTATTATAATCACCTCATTATCCATTATTAATTGTTATTAAACCAAATGAGTACAATAACACAACGTCTCTAAAAAATTGCTTAACGTTGTTCTATTTCTGACAAGAATTCATCGAAAGTTTTATTATTCAAAATATTGTGTATTAGAAAACCTTGGCAATATTTTAAAACAGTAATTATGAATTTATCATTTATTACATAAGTATCGCTTTATTCTAAACTGTTATTATAACATTTGTCTTTGTTTTGTTTTCCAGATCTAACCCAACTATTTAATAAACTGAATTACAATTGTTTTTTAAACCCTACTTTCCCAATTATTAAAAACCATAAATATTTTGTGCACAAAATTTAATTAACTTAAATGGGACTAACAATAAACAGATACTTTATTCTATTTTTTATTACATATATAAGCGGTACTCATAACAAATCAATAAAAATAATTTACAAAAGAATCGATATTATTAAAAAATATTAGTACAAAAATTTAGAATTTATAGAACCTATCATTGCAACGTTTATTCAAATTATTTGTGTATAAAAATAATGTGTTTTTAATTTAAAAAATATATGTATTGGTCGACTGAAAAATTCATTTTTGACGGTTTTCTATAAACATCTCATATTAGAAACATTGATCCATTGAAATATCTCAAAACTATAATATAAATCAAAAGCATTTCTATTAACATTTATTTGATACGCTACTGGATAATAAAACTAACAAACCCCGCTCTTCCCCTCCTAACAACTGGCTTGTATATGTTGCTTTCAAACAAACGCAATGTAAATTTTTGACATTCAGTTATCTATTATTATTTATTTATCTGAGAGCCCAACCACAAAGAATAATGTACTTAGATCTTAGAAAGTCTAGATCACGATGAATGACATTCATCGTGTCTATATAAGGCGAGTTCGGTCAGTTAGGGGCTGGAGCGGGACACATTTTAGGGTGCTTTTAAATGACATTTAAGCATGTTAAACTGTCACTAATCGGACTAAACCGAACGCTAAAAGAGTCGTTTGGAGTTAAAAGTGTTAAAGGAGTTAAAGGAACGTGGCAAACCGAACGCAATGAATGATACAGTATCGAAAATAAATTTTGACCCCTTACACGCTGGGCGCCATGATAATTGAGTTGTAAGTTGGCACTACTGACAAGACAGGATCGGCGCTAGGTTGCGGTAGAATATATAAGGAGCAGTAACTTTCATGTGAAACTTTTCACAAATATTTTTGTTTTGAATAAATCATTTTTTTTATGCTATACCACTCCAAAATTTTTTGAAATAATGGTGGATAGCTATAGAAAGACCATTGATAACTGTTTGAAATTACACCTAAAATGTCACTTAGCGCACGCAATTGTCGAACGCGAAACACTGCTTTGGTCGAGTCGACTAGGAAAATTGCAAAAAACACTGGCCTTTTGGAGCATTCTAAAATTAATCTGTTTTGATAATATTGATATCATTTAAAAATTGTAATAGTATAATATACATAGAGACTTTCATGTAGGCAATAGAAAAGGAAAACTAAAATTGTTTCTGATGAGTGATGATTGATATTAGTGGCGCATATACGGGGGTAATGTGGGGGATAATTCGGGCGATGAGGGGGAATAATCTGTAAACCTAACTTTCTATTGGTACTAGAATGTATTATTATCATAAAAAAGACTTAAACTCTGGATGTGCCATTGATTGATGTGTCTAGTAAATAAACATTTATTCCATAAATCGCCGACGTATTAGTTCTAACACTTCGGTATTTTACGAGTTTGTCAATTGCGGCATCGAAATCTTCCGAGTGCATACCGTGTCGGCGGTTTCCGAATATGCTGCCTGGCATGCCAGTGGATCAAGTACATCAGATTTATACGGTGCTATGCCGCGCAAATAGGATCCATTGCGCGGTAGACCCACAGTAACATACAAATCTGACAAAGTGGGTCCATTGTTGACCCCAGATACGGCGCAGGCATGGCGAAGGCATGACGCATTATATTTATTCGCATCTTTAGAAAACATTTTGTCTATAGATATTGATACACCGAATTAAAACTGCTACACCGAGCTATCATTAATTTGTATCAATTTAAATGAATTATAAAGTTAAATCCAATGTGATATTTCTGAAAATTTGAATCGTAACTACGTCAAGAAAGTTATAAAAAATATGTTTTAAAACATTTTAATATTAAGCAATATTTCTGTATACATCTAAATATATAATTATTCAATTTCGTATTAACACAATTTACTTCATTATAATTATAATAATTGTAATAATAGAGCAAACATTATTACTCCTGTGGACATAAAAATACAATCTCCTCGTGCTGGTGTTGTAACTTCACTTGGTTCTGTAGATGTTGATGTAATTTCAGTTGATTCTGTAGATGTTGATGTAATTTCAGTTGATTCTGTAGATGTTGATGTAGTTGTTGATGTAGTTGATGTAGTTGATGTAAGATCTGCAGGATTTACAACTTTCCTTTCTAAAATTACTAAACTATAGTATTTAACTGATCTCTTGGAGATTCTTGTAACGTTGTCCCAACTTAGATTCACCGAATATAGACCGTAGTGTGGCCTAAAATAGTTTTAAAATTTTACGGACATATCTTTTTAATAAATAAGCAAGTTAAAAGAAAAAACAGTTTTACATTAAAGAGTAAAAAATATATAAAGAAATGGAAAATAAAAGTAACATTCACAAGACAAATTATTGTTTTTATGAATATGTCTTGCAATAATAATTATCATATTATCACCACTAACTTGTATCCCTTTGTCCACTCGAAACTATCTAATAAACTCCAGTACGTGTATCCAACAACATTAACTTTGTCCTCATGTATAGCATCAACGACATTTGATAGGTAATTCTGAAATTTTAGAACATAAGATAAGGAAACTCGCAGAGTTCATGTCGGCAAATATTAACATAACCTCAAAAATTACAACTAAAATGGTGCCGGTTAGTAAAAAAGTATCAGCAATAAAAAATAGTCTTTGTAAACGAAAAATATCTTACCGATAAATGTGTAACTCTATCCCCATCGTGAGTAGTTCCATCATCAGCAAACCCATTTCCTGTTATTAGGATTTCTGGATCTCCGTAGTTTTCTTTAATGTATTTTAGGAAGCTACGTAATCCTGACGGTACAATCTAAACAAAATATATTAATTATATTTTAAAAAGGGTATCCGTCTCCCCAAAAAAACTTACAGGTTGTTAAAAAAAGTATTTTGGGAAAATTAGAAAAACTGCAAGTTAGTTTTAAAGAAAATAATAAAGATTCATTTAAAACATGGTCAAAATTTATCCAGTAGGGAAAAGGGGGAGGAATCATGATACACTAAAGAAGGTATGATATTACGAAGATTGATATTATACGTCACAGTGACGTAATGTGGTGGAAGGCGTGGCATATACGAATATGACGTATCAGCTGATGGAAACAACACGCGAAAACAAATTTGACTCGGCTCATGGCCAATCAGATAACTATATTCCGCACCACAATACGTCATGCGTGAACCTTGACGAGATTTCGTCGGCTAAGTATCATGAGGTGGAATGGTGGGCGTTGGGGGTAATGGCATAGAAAAGGTTCCAGTTGCCTTGGTAAATTCGATATGATGAGGCAACTGGAACTTAAGTTTTTGGGTAACTGGGTCTGTAGGTTTCAGTTAACTATTTTCAAAGGAAAAAAATGTTATCGAGTCGATGTTACCTGAAAAACCTGAACCACTAGATAGAATTGCTATAGCCGCTTCGGATAAGGGATGGATGACGACCATAATATTTGCGAATTGGTTTAGAAAATGTTTTTTACCTCACATACCAAAGGAACGTCCGATCCTTTTATTTGTAGATGGACAATACAACCCATATTTCGTGTAATGTGATCCAAGAAGCCTTTGATAATGATATATGTATTTTAAAATTACAACCACATACAACCCATCTGCTTCAGCCACTCGATGTTGGTGTATTTAAGAGCATAAAAGCGACATGGGATAAAAATCTTTGTAAATGGCAAAGGCTCGACCCAAGAAGAAAAATTCCTAATACTGAATTTACGCATCTTCTTGACAAGAAATTTTTTAAATGTCTAAACAGAACATTATAAATCTGTTACAAGCAACAGGTATCTATAATTTAGATACAGGTAAACCAGATCGAACAAAAATTCCCAAAACAATATTTTCACAGCAAGATCTTGTAAAATATAACCATCACGGTAAACAAAACGAGGTGATTATTGGAACGAAAGATCAAGAAATTAATGAAAATGAAGAAAATAGAACAATTTATCAAATGGAAGATTTAGTTAACAAAGATGTAACGATGTTCCCCAATAATAGATACGCCTATGGTTCAGCATGTAGCCGTTTTGCCAAGCAGAGACAAGTATATAAAGAGCTCCGAATTTAATTCTCGTCAGTCGAACTAAGGTACTGACTTACTCGTAGTAAGACTCCTCTCCTGCTCCTGCAGAGGTATTGACTCTGTAGGCTTCCCGACGTCCCGACCCTTGCCTGCAAAGGTATTGACTTTGCAGGTTTTCCTTTCCGTGAATCTCTCCCACGAAGGTATTGACTTCGAGGGACTTCCAATACCGTAAACGTAACCTAAGCTCTTGTCACGTTTTCGCCACACCATCCGGGACCACCAAAACACGCCGAACCGACGCACAAAGTATATTTTGGGAGAACAATATTTGAAGACTCGACGATTCGAAATTTAGTTAGAACCTTTTCATGTACATATTGTAAATATTGTTGTCTGTATATAAATTGTTAGAATAAAGTTTTATTTCCAAAGAACTCTGTCTCCGACTATCTAGAATTTACCTGCTACCCGAACAAACCCCAGGAGGGGGTTACAAAGAACAGCAAACAAATATAGTGAACGAGCAACAAGGTAAAAAGGAGTTGATGCTTGAAGACAAACCTGGACCTTCAAACACCCAAAGCAATATTTGTCTGAATCCCTTTGAAAGTCTGGTGGTTGAACTACTAAAAAATGAAAAAAAGAAATCGGAATCTCCGACACCACAAAAGAGAAGAAAGATCTGCAATGGGGCAGAAATTATAACAACATCAGACTACTGAAAAAGAAACTAGAAGAGAAAAATAAAAAACTGGAAGAGGAGAAAAAGAAAGCAGAAACAAAGTCTAAGAAAATAGCTCAAAAAGTGAACTCTATCCAAAACATAGATCCTTTGAAAGAGAAAAACTCCACATAAATATCAAAAAAAATATAAAATCGAAGAACACTAAAAGTGAGACCGAAAGTAGTGAAGATGATTCAGAAGATTGTATAGAACTGATGTCGGATGAGGATGCAGAAAATGTCGTGGAGGGTGATTTTGTGCTTGTTAGGTACAATATGGAAATGTATCCTGGAAGTAAAAGACACAGAAATCATCATATCTCACATGGTAAAAAGTGGGGTGTTTGCTTGGCGTTGGCCTGAAAAGCCCGATATCTTAGCATATGACGAAATAGATATAGTAAAAGTTATCCATGAGCCCCAACAAAATAATAATAGATCATAATGGTACCTGAAATGAAAAAATATCATTAAGTATTTTACATAAGTTCATACACCACTTTAGTTTACTTGTTTCATTTGTTGTTTAAGTACTTATTTTGAATAAAGAGTTTTTTCTTCAACACTTTGAGGATTTTTAACATCTTCATTTTCTCGGCTATTTTTTAAGATAAATTAATGAAATGTTAAACAAGAATTTGTGATGGTACCAAATGGTATATTTCTATTAATTAATTGATTATAGTTATCAGAAACAAAGATTTTTAACTTATAGAGATTATCAGAACGCAGTTCATACAATGAACTGCGTCCAATAAGTCTACTGCCTCTAATTTCAAAAATTCTTGAACGTGCACGAATATCTTTGTGAAAACAATATAATCCCTTTGCATCAGTCGGGTTTCCAAAAGGGTTTCAGTACTTCAACAGCTTTGGCACATTTAAGTGACAATATTTTCAACAGTATTGATAAGAAAAAAGCAGGTGTCCTAGTTCTACTAGATTTTAGCAAAGCATTTGACACCATTAATCATAGTCTACTTGTATCCAAGTGTCAATATTATGGATTTGATAGAATTTCATTAGGTTTCATAAAAATATACTTAAATAAACGATCACAGTTAATTACAGTAAACGGTCAGAAATCAACATCCATTCAAATCAAATCTGGTGTACCACAAGGTTCAGTCCTAGGGCCACTGATTTTCTTACTCTATACCTCGGATTTCTACAATCACGTAAATAATTGTGCAGTCCAATTTTTTGCTGATGAAACTCATCTCTTCCTCGACTTTTCGCCGAACGAAGTCATTACTGCAGTTGATAAGATTAATCAAGATCTTAAAAAAATTGATAACTATTCGTCTAATCATAACCTTCACATTAATGCTTCGAAATCCAAACTATTATTATTCTGTAGTAAAAATATTAGATAATATATAAAGAACAATACAACTCTGATGATATCTGGTGAATCTATTCCACATAAAACTGAGTCTATAAATTTAGGGTTATACTTTGACGACCAAATGAGGTTCAGTCAACATGTCAACTATGTGTTACAAGTGTTACAGTGGTCTTCGCTTGCTTTATTATAATAAACACATCCTACAGAACCAATCTATAAAACTAAAACTTTGTCAAAGCCTTGTAATTTCAAAAATATTATATGGAATTGTTGTGTATTATCCTTGTTTAACAGCTGCTGATCGTAACCGTTTGCAAATTATGCAGAATACATGCTGCAGATTCGCAAAAGGACTTAGAAAATTCGATCATATTTCCCAAGCCTTCTCCCAAACTGGCTGGCTAACTGTTAATAATTTATATAGATTTACTTTCCTTTCTTTTCTTTTTAAAATACTAGAAATATAAAGCTATTAAACAGTAGACATAAACAAAGATACCTAATTTTTATTTTTTTATCATTTAGATGCATTTGGAAGTCCAGAAATTTAGATGCATGCAAAATACTTATGCCTTCTGGCCCTCTACATTCTATAATCAACTTGACGAATTATAAAAAATAATGGGTTTGTGATTACCGTATTTCCAGCTGCATCTACCGGCCAATCTGGATTTGCACTAATTTCGACTTTCATATCGTTAGCATAGGAAGATGTCTTGTAGTCAGCCTCTTTGGAATCTGCGACTATCCGGGTATCGAAGTAATTGAGCGCCATAAAGTCGATGCTACCCTTTATATCTGCTTTTTCTTCCTTAGTGAATGCCGGTAAACGTGAATGTTTTAGTTTTTCCTTTTCACTTCTTTCCTTCACTCTGTCAATCACTTCCTGTGGCCAATCACCGTTAATAATGGGGTTAGCATATAATCCAAACTAAAATAAAGAAATATTCTTGATATTATGATTTTTATTAGTGGTTATTGGTCAATTTGTCTTATTTTAATTTTCTTACCTCAAAATGATTTCTTCGTTCAGCAGCTTTTTTATCTGCATCTGAATCTGTTTTTGGTTGAGACCAAGAACCATCAAGAGCTATCGATATTTTAGCTGAAATCAAATAAATTTATACAAACTGTAGTAAATTCCTCTCATGATGAGATTATTCTTATGTGGTAGACTTAGCTTCAATAGTAAAGAGTATAGCGTCGTTATAGATGACAATAGTCGCAAAAACAAACACCATGAATAGGTAAACATTGAATTGAAAGCATTTATTTGTACCAAGTTTCCAAAATTCAAAAACGCGCGAGAACTTGCAATAAAAAATAAGGCATTATTACTTACCATGATATTTTTTATTATGAAAGCATTTTGAAAAATACTTTCACCAACTGTATACGTAAATTGTCGGCACATGAAAATCTTTTTTATTACTAATTTTAGGAAAAAAAGTTGTTCTTTATAAAAAGTCGAGCATGGTCTAAAACCTAAAATACAACCATCAAATATCAAATTTTATCAGTCGTATAAAGAATAAAGGTACTTTATTACTCTTGAGTAAAACTCATATTTTTTGACAAACCTCGTATACCACTGAAAAAAATTTGATATTTGATGACTGTATTCTAGCTTTTAGATAATGCAGAACTTTTTATGAAGAATAACTTTTTTTCCTAAAATTAATAATAAAAAAGTTTTTCATATGATTCCAACTTATGGGGACATACTGTATACACAGATCCAGCTCTTTTAAATTATACAGGGTTGGCCATACCTCTGTCGTAGTTCTATAACTCCTACTATGCAAATCTTAACGATTTATTTGATGTATACCTGTCAATGGTGGCCAATACCAAATATCCCAAAATTATTTTCTTGTGTATAGGGTGGCCCAATAGTAAATTAGGCAAATCACTTAATTTTTTTTAAATGGAATGACCCAACTTTTTTTACAATTTTAGATACTCTATGGTCACTAGTACATACCCACAAAATATTATTTCTAACATCCCACCCCTTTCGCAGAAAAAAAAATTACCAAAAAATATTACATTTTCAGATGCCTATTAAAATATGCAGTGCTCTCTCGAATTTGATGTTAGAATTTAAAAAACTACGATTGTATAAAGCCAATAGACCAAAGATTTTTTTGGACCAAGTTTGAATTTTTTATTTTGTACAGGGTGGTCACAAATTAATTTCACTTTCCAAAAATTTCGAGGGAAATTTTTTAAAATTTTTTAAATATATTACCCTGTATTTCTATTCATTAACTGAAGGAGAATTTCATACCCTTCCACTTCCCTATGTACTTTCCTATACCTATCTGTCGCCGTTATAAAATAAATTCAAAAGGAAGAAAATTACGATAATAAAATTTATTTGAAATTTATCCTAAAACATAAATTTACATTTTATAAAAGATGCTCAAAATGTCTGCCATTTTCTCTAATGCATACATTTATTCGTTGGGCGAATGATCGAGAAACGTTTCTAAGCATATCAGGTGTAATGGAATGGAAAGCTTGCACTATCCTTTCTTTCATATTTTCAGGTGTTGTACGTGGCGTAAGATAGACTAGATTTTTAATATAACCTCACAAAAAATAATCGGGTTTTGTTAAGTCAGGTGATCGAGCTGGCCATTTTTTTGGACCATTTCTACCAATCCATCAATTTGGAAACTCTTCATCTAATTCATCTGCCACTCTTACAGCAAGGGAAATGTTTTCAAGTAAAGTAGGAAGATGATTTGTTAAAAAATCTAAATACATCAGACCATTTAAGTTGCCTTCAAAAAAATACGGCCCAATAACATGATCCCCAATTATACCTTCCCAAACATTTACACTCCATCTTTCTTGGCTATGTGTTCTGATGATGTTAGGATTTTCCATGGAATAATAGTGGAAATTATGTCTATTAACGAATCCGTTCTTGTGGAATGTAGATTCATCAGAAAACAGTACGCTATCAAAAAAAAAATGGATTTTGTTGGAGTTTAGTTTGTGCCCAGTTACAAAACACCAATCTGTTATCAAAATCGGTGTCTTTCAGCTCTTGATGCAATTGTATTTTATAAGGATGATATTGATGCTGTTTTAAAATCCTTCTAACGGATGTTCTACTTATACCTACTACTTCGGCAATCTTTTTTTGACTTACATGAGGATCTTCTATCGCTGTCAAAATTACAGATAATTGGTTATCATTATCAGTAGCACGTTCGTCAATTATTGGTTTTTTTATAAGCAACATTTCCTGTTTCGGTAAATCTTTCATGTAACTTTTCAAAACTTTTTTGATCAGGGATGCGTCTATCGGGATATCGTTGATGCTAAATTCTTTTTGCCAATAAACAATTTCTGTCGGATTCTCCCAAAACATAGACCATGTCAATTAATTCGTTTTTCGTAAAATTCATTATTAATAGAAGAATTATCGCGATCAGTAAAAATAACTTGACACTTCATTAATAAATAATCTGACACTTCATTAAGACCCAGCCTACTTGATTGAATGTTCACTTTCAATAAAACCACTGGTAGAAATTGGATTTTTGATAGATCAATGTCTTTTTGGAATTTACTTTTAAACGACGACAGATATGTATAGGAAAGTACATGGGGAAGTCGAAGGGTATAAAATTCTCGTTTCATCGATAAATAGTAATACAGGGTGTTCTATTTGAAAAATTTGAAAAAAATGTCCTAGAAATTTTTGGAAATTGAAATTAATTTGTGACCACCCTGTACAAAATAAAAAATTAAAACTTGGTCTAAAAAAATCTTTGGTCTATTGGCTTTATTCATTTGTAGTTTTTTAAATTCTAACGTCAAATTCGAGAGAGCACTGCATATTTTAATAGGCGTCTGAAAATGTAATATTTTTTGGTATTTCTTCTTTTCCTGCGAAAGGAGTAGGATGTTAGAAACAATATTTTGTGGGTATGCACTAGTGACCATAGAGTACCAAAATTGGAAAAAAAGTTGGGTCATTCCATTTAAAAAAAAATAAGTGATTTGCCTAATTTACTATTGGGCCACCCTGTACACAAGAAAATCATTTTGGGATATTTGGTTTTGACCACCATTGACAGGTATACTTCGAATAAATCGTTAAGATTTGCATAATAGGAGTTATAGAACTACGACAGAGGTTTGGCCAACCCTGTATATTGTATAAGTGTCACTCTGTACAAAAGGTTTTTTCAGACTTCATTTTCGTTTTGTATAGTTTGCTTTAAAATATAGTTTCACTTTTTGAGGAATTCTATAACAGAGCGTCTTTTTTTTTTCAGAAAGAAAATTCCAGTTGAAATTGCGGCGTCAATATAATGTGTGTGTATGTGTCATTAGATTTACGTTTTCCTTGGCCGCGGGTACTATGTTAATTCGTTAGCTTAAATGTAATATGTTATTTTTTAATATAATAAATAGTATGTTTACACTATAGTTTACTTTTTTTAAATATATTTAGCTTGCTCATAATATTTGTCTTTGTTTTACCTAACTATACTTAATACAACAACAATAAAGAATAAGATTTATTTGTAAGATGCTTATACAATATGTTAGATAACTAGTGCGTTGTATTGTTTAAAACTTACTTCACATATTCAATGATATTTTAGTGTTTTTTTAGGTATGGTATATAATATTTAATTCTAAAAATAAAATGTTAATACTCTTTCTACTCTACATGCTATACCTATGGTGTGTAGCATCAAAAATAGTTAACACTAGAATAGTAAACTTTGTATGTGAATATACCAAATTAAAAATACAGGGAGTTCTGATGTTATGCTACTGAAATGCTGGTTTTTTTCCTATGGAATGTTTTTAGATTATGCAGTACAGTATAGAAGATATTCTATGAATATTCAGCAAAATATCTAATAGGTACCTTTAGTAGAGGTTCATAAGTAACCAATGAATATATCCTATAGATGTTTAACATATCCAATGTACATCCATTATTTGATATATTTAAGATATCGAAAATTATATGCCTATAGGGTATCGTATTTAATGATTAATTACATTTTTTTTTTGAAAGTTGAACAATACTTATCTTTCAAAAAAAAATTGGATATCCACAAAAGATATTCTGTGGATATCTCTGAGATTTCGTGTATTGTCTGGGAGATACCCATTAGATATTTTGCTGGATATCTATAGGATATTTTTTATATCCTGGACATAGACGGACATTTGGATATCCATATTAGATCCACGGGATATTTATGATATCCTGTGGATATATTGGATATCCACAAAAGATATTCTGTGGATATCTTTGAGATTTGGTGTGTTGTCTGGGGAACTTCAAGATCAGTTGCCAGCCCCTGGAAAAGCATTAAAACTTCAAGATGGATCGCGTTATCTTTTCTATTTGGTAACAAAGAACACCTTCCGAGATCGATCCACCTATCAGGATGTATGGGAAGCATTACCCAGACAGCACACGAAATCCTTTGGATATCTACTGAACATCTCAATATCCACTGAATGTCCAGTCCATGGTAGATATCTATTTTATATCCATGAAATGTAATATCGATAAATAATAGTAATTATATAATAATAATAATAATAGTTCTTTATTTCAGGAGTATGTTACAGATACATAAAACGAAATAGAGTCAAACAAAATACATGAACAATATTGTCTTAGGTCATCAAAAACTCATTTAGATTATATGGTTCTCTGTTAACTAAATATATAAATAACACTTTCTTGACTTCTGTCAATTCATTAATTGTTTTAATATATCTGGGGAGACTGTTAAATATTTTGATACAATTATAGTAGGCTCCACGTTCTGTCATTGTAAATTTGTGGTGTGGATATACATAGTCTTGGTTTCTAGTGAGATACACCGACTGCGATTTACTAATGTCGAAAAGATGTTTGTTTTTAATAAAAAACAAAACACATTCCTGTACATAGATTGCTGTCAATGTTAATAATTTATTTTGTTTAAACTTTCCTCTACATGAGTCTCCTACTTTCATTCCTAAAATATTTCGCAGAGCTCGTTTTTGGCAGATAAATAATCTTTCAATTTCAATACAACTTCCATAAATTATAATACCATACCTAAT